CCTTCTGAATTCCTAGGGGGAGAGATCACCAAAGTATTACAAAACCGTTTTCTTGTTTTCTACCTATCCAAAGTTGTGATCTCCTTGTGACCAGGTTCCATGTGAATCATCAAGGGTACTGAGCTTTTCTGTGAGTATACATGGAGCTTGTTGCTGGAACCCTGTTACTGAGTATACAAAAATGCAGCTGAAATCAAAGAGGGCAAAGCATCCCCCTCCCCTCTTACCCATCTCTAGGGAGTTTTAGAGTTGAGTTGAGGAAGGGTGAAAAACAGTAGATTTGAATTTCAAGGTTTTCAAACATTTTAAAGCCTTCATATTAAATCAAGTAAAACTAAACACTATAATTATAATAAAATCCTCCTGTGGACTGCTTTTTATTGTAGTCACAGTTTTCTCATTTGCAATAGGATGTGTAATGTTGATAAAAGAAGAAAAATTCAAACCATAAGGATCTACAGGTTACTGGTGTTTTGTGTAATTTTATTAAAATTAGCACAGTGACTACATGAAAAATTAGAGTTCAAAACATCTTCTTTGGAATGAAAACGTTTTTGGCAATTGGCATTAAAGGAACATTAAAGGACATTGAAAACTTATCTATAGTAACAAAGAATTGTGTAAGTCAGTTTGATGAACTGACTTAAAATGCTATAATAACCCAACACTAGTCAATTTCTCTACTCAAATTCATATTCACTAGGACTCGCAGATAGCACACCTATATTTTCCTTTCCCAGTGTGGACCTCAGGAATTTTTTTTTTTAACGGTTGTTTTTGCTTGTGTTGTCGCTTTTCACAGAACAAATCTTGAAGTCTTTAGAAGATATTTTTAAGCCCTATCTGACTGGAATCTCTGTGCCATGTTAAATTAAACTATATAACTGGGTAGTCATGTTCTTCCAAAAGAAATTTGCACAGTGTAACCATTTAAGTAAATGGACTTTGGAAGACTTTGAGGTCAATTCATGGTAGCATGCTAAATGGAAAAAGTAACCCTTTTGCCACTGCCCATGAGAACAGAAACACATATCTCAAAGTTTTCTTAATTTCATTTTAAAGGGAGGCAGCTTGTGAGGGTAGGGTGTAGGGCGGGGCGGGAGCTTGTCACATTTACCCAAATCTACTAAGGTGTTAATGCTGTGAAGAGACTTTATTTCCTAAATTTTATTTTATTTTAAATGCACTTGCATTTAAAATAGATTTGGAAATGTGTTGTTTACTTTTTAATGGCTCATAGTCCTTCCCAAAGAGCTTAGGCCCTGATCTCTTAAACTCTGCTTTTCCATGAAGATTAGGGAGCTGAACGGCCTCATGGCAATCAGTTGTGGGGGATGTGAGGTGAAACTTTTCAGGGGCAGAAGCCCCACAACAACTGTAGCTCCTGGCGGGTTACCAGGCCCCTCACAGAGCAGTCCCTGGGATTTCAATGGCAAGGCTCTGGAGTCCTCTCCGCCCCTCCCCCTTTATCTCCTGGAAGCCCAGGTTTGCTAGTTAGCAAATGTTAATTGAAGATCTACTTAGTCTAGGGTTGGCTGGCTCCACTGGAGCAAGCAAGCTATACCAGGCTTCCAAGCTTTCTTCCAGAATAGCTGATTCCCTCACTACCATTTATAAGTTTGAACTAAAACCGCCCACAGAACATAATGTCTGCAGTCCTTACTCTGTTTCTTAATATTTTCTCACATTAAGGCAAACAATTTTGAGCCTTCAAAATCAGGGGAGGTGGCAGGCAATATGCAGGTGAAGAAATCCAGACTCCATGCTCACTAGTTAGTGAGTGACAGGAATGAGCTAGAAATAGGGCTAACTCCTAGTGTTCTTTAAACCAATACCACCCAGTGTCTGAAGGACATTGATTTAATTGGAAGAAATGTCCATGGGTGAATATACTGGGGTCCAGTCACACAGGGGAGTGAGCAATGTCATGGTTCCACACTAGTTTTATTTTTTCTTTTCTCTTTTTAAGACAAGAGGTCTTTAGAATTACTTGCTGTAATTTCCTCTTAGCTGAGTACATGTTCCAAAGAGAATATAAAGTTGAGAAAGAGAGAAAGAGACAAAGAGAGAGAACATACTATACCATGCATAAAAGAGTGAGAAGCAAGAGACAGAGTGTGTGAGAGAGAAGATGGTAATGATTACATGCATTGACTAAATACTAAAAGTGATGGTTCAACAGTCAATGAATTTTTGTGTCTGAACTGCTGGGTCAGTTTTGCAGTATATGATAACTGTATCCAATTCCTATTCAGGTTGCAGGAAAACTACATTATTAAAAAAAAAAAAAAACACCATTGGTCAAGCTACTTGGAACTTTTTTATCCAGTTATTTTTTTCTTCAAGTATACATTATTATCAAATTTTAATATTTAATATGAATATATACTAGAAGCAATTAATGATTACTGTATTTTTTCATATGCTATGAAAACAAATTTCTTGTGCTGAGACAAGGTGTCAATTTAATTATGTAGATAATTACTTTCATATGACTTAATAAGAGGGTACAGGGATGGAGGTTAGTTCCAGAACACACTAAAAAATAGCTCGTAGTACTTTGTTGGCAGGACGAGTTAAAAACTCAAAGATTTGTCAAAGCAAGCTTGTCTCTCCTCTCCCGGTTCCTCAGCTCTAGTTAGAACAAAATCTTTCAAAGTCATAGCCTGTAATCTAAAAGTTGGAAGTTCTTGGGTTTAGCTCTCAAGAAAGATTAATGTGTTGTTTTGGAAAAGCATACTACTAATGGGTCACTTTCCGAACATCCCAAACATGAAACAGTGGGGAATCTACTTCATCTTAGGGATTTATATGGGGACCAGGGTGGGTGGGAGATCTCCCAGCTTAAAGCTAGATGCCAAGGGCTGTGGAAGGGCTCAGAAGCACCCAGAACCCAAGAATAGCTACCCAGCTTCCCCCAGTAAGAGGATGGGAAGACAGCCTCCACCAAGCCTCAACAACTTTCTAACAAGTAAACAGGTTATCTTTAAAGAATTAAGCCTGTGGTCTCTTTTATTGTTATTTTTTACTATTCTTATTCTTACAGAAATAGTCATACTTAGCAAAGCATACTTTTAAATTTTATTTAGGTTTTTTTATTTTCTTTTGGTTTTTTGAGACAGGGTTTCTCTGCGTAGCCTTGGCTGTCTTGGACTCACTTTGTCCACCAAGCTGGCCTCGAACTCACAGCAATTCACCTGCCTCTGCCACCCTGAGTGCTTATTTAGTTTTATTATTTTTAACTTTTTATTGATTCTTTGTGATAGCTTTTTCTTTTATTCAAAGTTTTATTGCAATTACTGGGTGCCTCAACTATAAGACATTTCCAATCCTCCCATTTCTGAAAGCAGGCTCTGCCACTGATAGCTTACACAGGGACTGAAGATTCCAACACACTGTTACAAAGATTGCAATAGAAGATACAAGCTGTAACACACACATATAAAGCAACACACGATATGCACACACACACACACACACACACACACAATCCTGATTGCTGCCAAGAACTCAACACTTTAAGCACAAGAATTTACACTGTACAGGAGCTTCTGGCTTCTAGAAAGAGTCACAGTGCCAGCAATTATATTTAACATCCATGGTGCATTAACATATAAAGAAAACAGCAGTGATAAAGACAGCCGGGCTTTAAAAAAAAAAAAAAAAAAAAAAAAAAAAAAAAAAAAAAAAAAAAAAA